CTGAATACTGTACTTCATTTTTTCTCTTAAATTGTATATTTTCTCTTTTGAGGAGTTTGTATTAAAAGTTTGTTATTCACTCTGACGTGTTTCAAGTTACCAATTATCAGCCATTTTAAATATCCAGCCAACATTAATCATTGTAACGTGTTATTTTTATCTCGTACTGAATCACACCCTCAAATTTTGTCATTCTCCTTCATGAAATTGAAATGAAATAATATCCAATCCCTAACAATCTATCTTGTCATATGTTAATGACATCTTAATAACTGCACACACAAAAAAATAATTAAAAAAAAAATTTGGAATATTAGCGTAAGCTCTGCTGGAGATCTGAAAAATGTTCTATTGGTGTTAGGATTTACGTGGACCTCCCTGATGCTCAAAATCGTCTGAAAATACTGAAGATAATACTAGATCGAGAAAACCTGGAAGCAGGGTTTCCATTTGATCAACTTGCGAATGCCACTGAAGGTTATTCAGGGAGTGATCTAAAGGTTCGATGCTTTTATAATTCACACGTGGAGAGATAGGATGATCTCTGTTCAATGTCTCGAACTTTTATTATATTTATTTATTATTATAATTATAATTATACTACCTCCTATTCTTTTTAAATATCACTTTGGCATTATCAACTATTAACAAAATAAATGTCGTTTTGGATATTTTGTACATATTTTTCCGTTATTACCCTCATCTAGCTAATAAATAACGTCTTTTCATATTCACTCTTCATTTTTTCTCAAAACATTCATCTCTATCATTAATATTATTATTGGCAACAAAAATATTCTTAATAACTGTGCAACTTCTCAAAACGACACTTATTATGAACAAGAGGGAGTAATTATTATTTTTCTTTTCCTGCAGAACCTTTGCATTGCTGCAGCATATAGACCTGTTCAAGAATTACTGGAAGGAGAAAGCAAGGTCCGAACTATGATTTACTCGTCATTAGCATTATTTTGCCATAATCTTAAATCCTCGATTTCAACTTAAATCACTTTGTGGTCTGCCCTCTTTTTATTGAGCTTCCAAGTATTACAAACAGATATTCTTACACTTGAGAGGAAACTAGTAAAAATAACCCTCTAGAGCAGGAAAATTCTTCTGATTCAATTTATTTATTTATTATTATAATTATTATTATTTGTGTTTCTGTAAAAGAAGAGGCCTATAACAAGACAGAAAGTAAAGAGCTCTTGAAAAAGAGTGAAGGGTGTACTAATATTCTTCTTTCTTTTCGGTTGTACTGAAACACATGGTCTAATGGTTATGTCTAATTCGAATCCAAAAAAAATCTTACTTAGCATCTGAGGATAAAATCGTCCTATTACAGGATGACACGATAGACGGAGGACCAATCTTGAGACCACTCAAGCTAGACGATTTTATCCATTCTAAAGCAAAGGTAAAAACGAATAAGCAGTAGAGTTCCATCATTCGAATTTCCAATCACTAAAATATGTATATAGTTTAGTTAGAAATTCTCCTTTATCATTTTAACCATTACATTTAATTTTTTATGGCCTATTTATTCAGGTGGGCCCATCAGTTGCGTACGATGCAGCGAGTATGAACGAGCTGAGGAAATGGAACGATCAATACGGTGAAGGAGGAAGCCGAAGAAAATCTCCGTTTGGTTTTTGATATTATTAATCTCTAAGGAAAATCCTGAACGACAATTTTGTTCCGATTAGAAGGTTAAGAAAAAGCTGCAGAAAGTTGTGCCCGTGAGGTGAAAATTTGATTTTTTTTCTTTCTTTCTTTTTTCTTTTTTCGACCAATGAGAGATCGACAAGACAGAGCCTCATGTACATAGCTTTGTGTGGTTGGTTTTCATTATATACACACATAGAGACATAGAAAGAGCATGCTACTCTGCCATTGTATCTTTAGTGACTTTTTCTTTTTTCTTTTTAATTATTTTAGATAGTGGTCTTGATTATTAATCTATTTGCAGTTTTTTTATCAGTTTACTTTTAAGAAATAATTTTATGTCAGATATACAGTTTGGTGTACCAATAGTTGTGATGACCAATAGATTCTTTCAAGTTGTAATAGATGCAAGATATATATGATATATCAAGTTTGAAGTTATTAGACTTCAATAAAACGAAAAAAACGTGTCAATATTGTCTAGTTCTTCAAGTCACATCAATTTTGATATAAACAATTCCTATTTTTGCACATGTTAAGATAGATTTGCTTTATTCATTTGTGTTGTGTAAAAATTTCGAAACTAGTGAAACAAGATTATCTCAAATCATTCTATGGATATATACCTCATTTTATCTCTTAGTGACACTGCTCTAAAAATCGGCCTAATCGGTGCTTGGGTGATTCAGATTTGCACAAATCGGCCCAGTACTTAGGCGCTCCTAGGCAGACTTGGCGGGCTCGGCGGCCATGCGATTAGGCGGCGTCTAGGCTTGATCGATGACAAATTTTCAGTTTTTTTTTTTAAATACTAATTACATTATTTTTTTCTCATATTTTATTTAATATTTGTCAATATTATCATTTGGACTTGGGTCTATGGATTTATTAGCAGTTGAGATAATTTATTTTGTAGGTATTTAAAATAAATAGAACATAGAGTATTTAATATTGATTTCTAGGACTCGATTAGGTGCCGCCTAGGCCCCGCCTAGGTGCTCTAGGCGCTAGGCGCTGGTTGAGTGGCTAGCGGGCGCCTACCGACTTTTAGAACACTGCTTAGTGATACAAAAACGTAGTTGTATATTAATAATTAATAATAATTGTAATTATATTTAGCAAAATCAATCATGTTGAGAAATTTCTAATTGTGTCACTCCATTTATACTTTTATGGTACATGATTTGGTCATAAGGATTGAGTTATGAATTCTTTTATTTTGTAGTTAGGTTTGTAATTGAGTGGTGGACAATAAAATAAATTCAATTTCTTGGTATATGTGATTTGAGATGCCCTAATATCACAATAGTTGTTAAGGTTTATTGATTAAAAAAGGACATACCTTTTATTTTTATTAAATAGTACCATTACGAATTAATGTGATATTGTTTTTCTTTTTTTTTTCTTTTTTTTTTATCAATTATTATAGCTGTTCAATGCTATCATGAGAGTATGTTTGTTCAATAATGTTATCATGTGAGATGTGATTATCATCACATACTAAGTGTGATTTATCATTTTATGTTGAATAAGTTTTTTTTTTTTTTTTTTTTTTT